AATATTCACAATGTATATTTGATTGCATAATAAATTGTGGAGGCTCACTCACCATTGTGCTCCTCCATTAATTCAGCAAAATTTTTATAAAGATATGTTGTTTGTATATCACCTGGTTTAGAGGTTCAAATGATACACAAAAGGCTAGAGATCTTGATTTTCTAGAGTTTGGAGTGTTTCGGTAATGTTACTACTGACATTTGTCAAGAAAAAAATAAGGTAAAGTGGACCAGGGTTTACATGGGAGATGATAGGATAATATTTACCAAGGCTTTAAAATAGAATTAAGATGATCTGTTTATGGCAATTGGAGAAATGACTCTCCTCTCCTCCCATCTAACTAAAATCTTCCTGCACCTGGAATCTGATTTTAAGTCATGTCAATTCCTTCTAGAATGTGTACGTAAAGCTTTCTGGTTACTACTTCCTTCAAGCTGCAAAAAATCATTGTTGCCTTGTGGATGTTTTCCCTTCAGCAACTCACTATTTTCCACAAATAATTCTTCTGGTTTTGACACTCCCAGTAAAATATTATTCTCCCAGATTCATTTGGTTTTCACCGACACTCAGCTCTGTTTCTTGGCTCTCTGGGCTACTATTTCAAACAGAATAGTTGATCCATCATAAATCTGAGAGACTTTGGTCAATAAATGAAAAGATTTGGATTTAAGGGTTAAGCCAAAGACCACAAGGAACTGGTCTTAAAAGACAGTAGCAGACAGTAGACCTGAATTTGAACCCTGGCTCTGCAGTGTGACCTTGAGGATATTACATTAGTTTTCTGAGATTCAAATTTCTTATCTTAAGATGGGAATAATGATATTACCTGTCTCCTAGGGTTTGCATAAAAATTAACTGAGGTAAGGCGGGGAAAGAGCCTATTAGTATTTGGCACATAGTAGGAATTTAACAAATGGCAAATACACCAAGTAATATGAATGTATGTACATGACATTTGCTATCAGTATTACAGGTTCTCTTCTGCTGGGTATTGTCACTATTCCCTAGACCTTACCCTTTCACTAATAGGACTTATAAACATATACTAAGACTTAGTTTATTGATAGCATTAGAGCAATAATTTGAAAACTGAAAAATCCAGTTAATTGCCTAGGTAATTTTTTGGTTGCCAAGTAACCACATAGGCATTTTTTTTTTCTCCCAGCTACTTACCTAAGGTTACTGTGTTCACACTGACCACTAAACAAAATGCATATTTAAAAAGTCAATTAAAAATTTAGCCAGTATTTTGGCTTTAGACCATGGGCATCCATTCTTTTGGCTTCCCTTGGACACCCAGGAAGAGGAGGACACCTTGGAAGAGGAGGAATTGTCTTGGGCCATACATAAAATATACTAACACTAACAACAGTTGATGAGCTAAAAAAAAAAAGTAGCAAAAAACCTAAGAAAGTTTATGAATTTGTGTTGGGTGGCATTTATAGTCATCCTAGGCTTTGGGTTGGACAAGCTTGCTTTAGATACTCAAGAGAAACTGGATGATTCATGTTTTCAGAGAAAATAGTTATTGTAATTCACCAATTTCACTTGGTGGATGTGATCCATGCTTTTGATAAATCATGTATATTCCTTTTAGATTTTTGGATGGGTGGGTAAAGCTTTCTAGTTACTAGTTTCTTCATGCTGCAGAGATAATTGTTCCCTTCAGCGGCTTGCCATTTTCCACAATTATCTCTTTGAGTCTTGGCATGCTGCTCCCATGCCCAATAAGACATTGTTCTCCCAGAATTATCTGGTTTCAACAATACCTAGATCTGTTTCTGGGTCCTCTGGGCTACTATTTCAAAAAGCACTTGGTAGCATATCAAAGTCATATATGGAGCTTTTAAAAAGCTCCACTAAAAACACGTTTTTAAAAAGCTCTAAAAAGTCTAGATTTCTCGACTCTATTCCGAGAAATTCTTATTCAGTAAATCTGGGGTTGAGAATCTGTCTTTGCACAAGCTTTCTAGGTGATTCTAATGCTCGCCCAGGCTTGGGAACTACAGGTATGGATTGTTTGGCCCATTACTCAGTTCTGTCTATGATGTCATCATTTTATAATGGCAGGGAGTATGATGAATAGCTAGAAAACTCACAATTGTTTATTGTGAGCAAATAAACAATTTCCACTTACAAGTTTATTTTCTGTTTAAAATATATATATTTGTGACTATTCAGGAATAGAAAAATTGTTATTATCCAAATCAAAACACAGCATGAGGTACTTTCCAATAAAATCAACTGTAGATTATACACAAGTCAAAATCATCTGACTGTTTACTGAGTTTGAAATCCTTCTAGGCACCAGGAAAATGGTTTAATTTAAGATTTTAATCTTTCCTTATATTATATGGTTTCGGAAATGGATTTTGTGCATCTTAAACTAAGATTGACAGGTCTGAATACTATAGATTTATTAACCATTGGTTAAATGGTCAGAGGTAGTGTGTAAAGCATTCTACAACATCGCCTAGGCTGGACCAGAAAGAACAATTTATACAAAGCCTGAGGTATGTGAGAGTTAAGGTCATATCAAGTTGTGTTTTATTCCATAATGATACTTTTCTAAATGGAAACATGATACATTAAACAAGTTGAATTCAAAGAAAAAAATGACACATGCTGGGAAACTTGAAAGAGGTCTTGAAAATTTACTAATCCAATCCTCGGAAGGCAGTTTTATTATTTTGAAATGGGGGCTTTGAGACACAGCAAATGTTGGAACAAATATGTTTTTAAAAATAAGCAATTAAAGACAAAAAATAATTCTTCAAACAATCACCATTGGTATCTACAGAATATTATACAGAACTAGGTAATGTATTTATTATATAAATAACTTGATTTAATCTTTACAACTACCCTACATGCCTACATGTAGGTATTATCATTATCTCCATTTCACAGATGGAGAAAATTGAACCCTAGGGACTATTTAAGTTCGGCTAATAGGTGGCAGTACTTTAATACGAATCCTGGCTTTTTCATTTGTCTTACTTTGATAGTCATAAAATAAAGATATTTTCAAAGCCGTACTGAGCATGAAGTCCTCAGATTAGCAATGGCAACTGATATGTGTAACAATGTGAGAATAACAGATATTTTGATAAACTATGGGACTTCCTAGTCATATGGCAAGGAAATCATCAACTTTGCTCATCACCCTGGAATTTTTCTTATTGTTCTTGGAGAATTTAGATTGTCGAAGACCCTGGCCTGAATCTAAAAAATTATTGTCAATAGGCAAAATCTGGTCTTAGATTGGCTTTATCCAGTTCCATTTTATTTTGTGGTGCAAAAACACAACATAACTATAAAAATATTGAGGAGATATATGCTAAAAAAAAAAATTGAGGCCAGGTGGCTCACACCTGTAATCCCAGCAGTTTGGGAGGCCGAGGTTGGTGGATCACAAGGTCAGGAGGTCAAGACCAGCCTGGCCAGCGTGGTGAAACCTCGTCTCTACTACAAATACAACTATTAGCTGGTCATGGTGGCGCGTGCCTGTATTCCCAGTTACTTCGGAGGTTGACATAGGAGAATCACTTGAACTGGGGAGGCGGAGGTTGCAGTGAGCCAAGATTGTGCCACTGCACTCCAGCCTGGGCAACGGAGTGAGACTTTGTCTCAAAAAGAAAAAAAAAAAGTTGCAGGAAAGCAATGTTATTCCATGAAATTAGAAATTCACTCTATAAAGGAGGCTGCAAATTGGTATATTTCCTGTAGCAAAGATGTCTTTTCCTCTGTTGAATTAAGAATAGAATTCAAGAATATCTATGCTCTTAAAACGTAAAGATTATAGCACTTTATTATGCATTCTGCCACTATTAATTATTCCTTTATATTTTGTTTAATATGTTGTAAATTTATTTTAAAAGTGGGTGAAATCATGTACATTTAATATCTTAGAGGAACTCACATTTTTCTTTGCTTATAAAGCTCTTTGTAAACTTTCTTTTGAATTTTGGGGAAAAATAACCTTTTTTCTTTGATCTTAGCTTATGTCAGAAGGCGTTGGTCTACAAGAACTTAAGTTTTATGCATTAGGCCTTTACACTATCTTTATAGCTATACAATATTACCTGTTTTGACTGATCAATTTATACAAATAGACCTTTGCAATTATGTTATGGAATGCCTCTATTTATAGCCCAAACAACTGTTAACTAACTATTTGGTGCCATGTTGAACTGTGGCTAAACTTATTCTGATGAGGACACAAAGGGTTTGTTGCCATTTAATCTTAAGACTAGATATTTAAAATAAAGTCACATTTTTGAAGTGTATTTAACATCTTAAACAGTTTTAAATTTTACTTGTAAAGAAAATCCTCCATATGTCTTTTATGTTAAAAGATAGAGAAAACAAATCTCACTCTACGCTTTACAGTATTAATGCAGTCAGGATTTTACTGAGGATGGTTCTTACCTCAAAATATAATAATGCACTAAGTCAAAGGCAACCCAATAGTGACCAAGTGGCTCAATGAAGACTATTCAGCTTTCAGAGGCAAAATTCAACTACTAGAAGTGGTCACAACCCAAGGTACATGGGTGGAGTAGACTACTGTATTTCCAAATTCCCCATTCACTGATGTAATATAAAAGGAATGGTATAATGCCAATGATCCAATCTATGAAGTCCCATGGAAATGAATGTTCAATGTAATTCTGACCTATATGACTTGCCTTGAATATATTAATAGATGAGTAAGAAGACAGATTTTTAGTCTCTTGTACTTGAAAGTGTTGCTTTCACAGAAAGGCATATCTACTTATATACCATTATCAACATCTAAATACCCATATCTCTATGTATTTATGTATGTATATACTCATGCATCTATACACTCAGAAGTGTAGTTTATTCTGTCCATCCTTATCCAGGAGACTGACTCTATCTTTCTGATTTACTAAATTAACCGTTCCATTCTTATCTCTAATTGATTCCTTTAAAATGTTCACACACACACACACCCCTTATTTTTTTTTTCTTACCTGGTGGTGTCCAAGCTACAAATACATAATAAGGCCCAATCACTGTGATATTATATGGAGGATGAATTTCTTCTGGTGTCGACATAGGTGTTTGAACAGTGTAATCATCACTAGTACAGCTGCCACCTCCAGTTTTGACTTCTAACTTGTAAGTGTATCTATATTTAAAAGGAAAGAAGAATTGTGATAAGGCCAGGCACAAGAGACTTGAACAATGATTACTGGTTTTTGTACCATTGCTTAGTCCTAAATTTGTGATAAATTGCAAATTCTTTGCTCCCTGTCCAGAAACTTGATTTGGTAGTTTTTCTTGCACAGGCAACATTCTCCCCAAGCCATTGCAATTTCAGCTTCTCCCAACTTTATTTTTAACCTGCTGGTAATTCATAGCTTTTCTTGAGAATTTTAGGAAGGTCTTGGAGTGTGCTGGTGGATTGTGGAGGATTCAAATTAATCTTCCCCATTTTTAAATGGGTTGGAGTTCAGGGAAATACGTTTAGAGGAAGACATTTTTTAATTGATCTGCTATGCCCTACAATAAAATGAAATTGATCTCTACTTTCCACAATAAAACATCTGTTGATTTAAGATATGTTTTCCTCTCTGCTGAGAAATGAATGGGAATGAAATGCAAATATCTGGAACTTTTTCTTCTAAAACTGTTCACAACTATATGTAGTGTAGCAAGTAGAGAAACATTGTTCAAGAAGAAAAGGTAGTTGATGGAAACAAAACTCTTTACATCTCTTTTATTGCTAGTTTATGGATGCATGTTTTTGAAGATAATTTGGTAATTTTTAAAGTTTAATACTTCATATATTTTGTATATTTAAAAATTTTCGTGTTTTTATGTCAAACAGAAGATGAATTATTATATGTTTAAGAAATTTCATGTAGTCTAAAGACTAAATCATTTAGCACTTTCATCGGTTATGGAATGTCCAATTAATGAGGAAGTTAATTAAATAATGTAATAATTTTCAGTGGGACATGCATTTATGATCAACCCAGAGAAATACACAAATCTTACTGTATGATTGGTAAAGTTTTCTTTTAGTTTACCTGCTATTGGGCTGCAGGTTTTTATCAGTGAAATTCTGCTCCTCACTACCACCCAGGAAAAGCAAGTTTCCATTACGACTCAATTGATACTGAGAAATGAGGCCATTGGGCTTTTCTGGCAGACTCCAATATAACTCCACTGTTGTAGAATTGATGATAATGTGTCGAGGTGTCGCCCAAACTCCTGGAAAGAATAACACAATGAGGTTTTATTGTTAGGATAAAATAAACAGTGTATCAAAAGTCATGCCATCCCCCCCAAGGACTGTGATACTTCTTCTGTTGATTAAAACAATCTCACTGTAAGAAGCAAAAATACATAATAGGTGTAAATATTTTTTATTACTTTGATTATTTTATTTTTGAATTGCCTTTGGAAAGTGAATTTCAGGCAACTAGGAGTAGATAATTTCTCTGCCTTGGTTGTCACTCTGAGTATATTTTGAATCAAGGCTTGAGAGACTATCCAGGATTTCAAACTTTTTAATACGATTTCCTGGAATATGTGAAAGTAAGCATAAATAGAGTATTTTGCCTGAATTATACAATTCAACAAATGAGTGCACTTTCCCTTCTTCTTGCACATCAATGCAATGCTTTCTTCCCATTTCCTCTCTGGCTATGCCTCTGGGCTCATTTACTGGGATCTCTTCCCCTCCTGGTCCTGGAAGAGATGTAATGTCTTAGAGCAGTAGGCTCTGTTCTCTTTCTCCTCTCTGCTTTTCTCTCCTCCTTTCTCTTCTTCTTTTTCTCTCCTCTCCTCTGCTCTTCCAACACTGACTTCCTACGTGATCTCCACTTAGTACGGGTTTTAAATATGCATATGCTGAAGACCCCCAAATGCGTATCTCTAGATTGAAACTCTCCTGAGTGTCAAACTCAAGAATTCAACTGTTTGCTTGGCACCTCCATTTGGATGACTGATAATATATTAAAAACTAAAAACATGCAAAACAGAACTCTTGTTTTTCCTGTCTATAATCTATGTATCTCCCAATCTTGTCCATCTATCCATTTTCTTGGACAAAACACGCCAAAATAATTAAACTTCAGACTTCCTCCTTTCATACCCCCAAATGTAATCTATCATGAAGGCTGGAAGATTCTGTAATGCATACTTCTCTGTATCTTTACTTTCACTTCTCCTGGTCCAAGCCACATTTCTTTCTCTCTCATCAACTTCTATCATAGCTTCTAAACTTGCCTCCATGTTTAAATCTTGGCCTTCCATATTCCACTGGAATCTTAATAAAAGTGTATAAAGTGTATATGTAATCCAGTGTCATCTTCATGAAATATGTAACCCTTTTGAATTTATTCATATAATATAATCCCAATTTCTTATTATGACCCATATGGTCCCACATTTTATTGGCTCTGGCCTACCTGGCAGCATTCTTTCCACCATTCATAGAGCTGCGGCCATACCAGATTCCTTTCTATCCCCAGAACGCTTCAGGTTATTTTCTACATCTGGGCTTTTGAACTTCCATTCCTTTGGCTTGGAACACTTTTGTTCCCTTACACCATGACATTTTTGCATTTTGTTCTCATAGTTCAGTTACTCGTGTAAATATCACCTTATTTTACCACTCTTTCTTAACTGTAATTTGAACCTCATCTAAAGGGGTCCCAAGCTAGCTGGCATGGCCCTTTCTATTTCCTCCTTAACACTCAAAACATCATAATCAAATTCTTTCTTTGACATATTATTTTTATGTTATATGACGGCGCAGTCCACTCCTTTCTCCTGCTTTGATGCAAAGTTAGTTCCACAGTAAAAGGGATCTTCTCTGTCTTATTTGTCAGTGTATCTCTATAAATAACACAATGCCTAATACATGTTTAATGAATAGATTTACTGTAAATATATCCCCTGCAAAATACTATGCTAAGCACTCCAGGCAGTTCTAGGGGATGCAAAGATGATTAACATGTGGCTCACTCTTTCAAAGAGTTTATGTTTCTGTCTAAAAGATAAAATGTATACACAAATAACTCTAATTTGAGGTCAAACATTCAAGAAATCTTATAGATGTACCCATCTGTTGATGGAGAACCCGGCAATAAGAACGTTCAATCCTACCACTTTATGTTGTCATCTACTTAGACACTGTAAATGTCTTCTGGAGATAAAAAAAAAAAAAAAACAACTCATTTTGAAATTAGGTTTCCTGTAATCAATAGCTTTTGCTTGATTGTATCTACTGTATAAGTTAGTCTGTACAGGATAAGATTTTGGCACTTTCAGGAGAAAAATTTTCAGAAGAACAAAATGCAATTTATTTAGCAGCATTCTGAAAGAAACAAGATAGGTTTCAAAAATGTCTCAAACATCTCAATTTTCTAAAGAGCAATATATTTCTGAGAAGAAAGTAGTCATTTTGTTCTGAGAGCTTGCTCTGTTTTAGATATTTGGAAAAATCCACAAATCATAGTATACATTTATGTGTGGGTTTCTCTGCCAAGAGCTGCAAAATGACTCAACCAATCAATTAGAATTCTGATTAAAATGTGATATTAATTTGTTGATTCCAAAGATAAAGTCTTAGTTCATAATCTGCTTCCTGCAGTTATATCTTTTTCACTTCGAACGATGTATTAAAGCTCACCAAGGTACTAGAAAGGCTATTGCTTGGTTTCTGATTTGAACCGGTCAACAAAACCTGTGAGTGTGGAGGAGCTAATACAATAAAATGAAACACAATTTTGGGTTTCTTTCAAGTTTTAAATAAAAGTTGAGTTTCATATTTATACAGGCTGGCAAAAGCTCTGTTCAAGTTGATAATAACTCTGTGTCCATTAATTTGATTGGTAAGATGGAGTTCAAATGTATACATAACTAGTAAGTGCTGCATTTTTACTTGCACGGTGATAGGAAGACATCATTATCTTGGCAACTGCAAGAAATTGTTGCTAAAGTAAGACTCAGCTTTGGTGAGATATATTAATTAGTCCAAGGTGGAGAGTTTATTCCCTTCTCCATGCGACCTCAGCCTAAGTCAGGTGAAACCAGAAAAACCTATTCTATATAATAAGGGAGCAAATTGAGGCAGTTCAAGGGAAAGAAATGAATGACAGAGAGAGAAGTAATCTAGGAGGATGGGGTGGGGTAAACTAGCTAAGAGGCTAAAAGGAGAAAGGTAGAATTAAACCTTGGTGGGTCTCTTTACACAATGAGGACCAGTAGAACATGTCTACTGTATTTGTTTTAAATTTATCTTGAGTTGCATGCAATATTACCCACTTCTCATGTCCCTACAAATCTTCATTCCAATTCAAAATTTCCAACATTTACTGTGGATTGTTTTTCTCCTGAAATCTGGTGATAGGAACCAATTGTGCATTAGCTGATGTTAGGGATGCACTTAATTCTGGGCTATTTACTATTTGTTAATTTATCCATCATTCTACCTGACTTTGTGTCATTTTCTGTATTAGGAACTATGGATATGAGAATGAAGACTTACTCTTACCCATCATCATGGAGTTCATGTATCATGGTGAATAAAGATGAGTCAATAAAAAGTTGTACTCCAGTATGATACATGCTTTAAGAGAAGGAGGCCCAGTAGCTGTTAGAACATAGAAAGGGGTAACCTGACACAGACTATGGGGAGACATGGAGCTGGGTAGGAAGTAGGTGGTTGTAGTGTAAGATTTCCAGAAGGGGAGATATGTGAACCAAGTTTTGAAAAGGTAGGTGTTAACTGAGTGAGGATGTAAGGGAAGGGAGTTCAGGCTGAGGGGAACCCACAGAAAGTTCTAGAAATATGGTCAAGCATGGTGGGACTGCACATACTTTGGTATAGGCTGGTGCACTGTGAGGCATGTGGGGAAGACTTAAAACCTTGAAAAATTGGTGGAAGTTAAAAATTGAGGGGTCCATATTGCTTTGCTAAGGAGACATGGATGTGTGTCTTCCTGGAAGGAAGTAGGACTTTACAGAGGTGACTAATATGACATATTCTTGTTTTGTCAAAAGAGGAAAAAGAATCAGGATGTGGGATGTGAGAAAGAGGAAAAATGACTAGAGGAAGAGAAACTAGTTAGGAGGTCCAGAGAAGATCTCTTCTTATTAACTTAAGGATCTGAACTAAGGCAGTGGTAAAAGGGATGGTAAAAAAGAACAAGTTTTTAAAAATTCTTAAGATTTAAAACTAGCAAGATTTTATGAAGAATTATATATTACATATGGAAAGGGAAGCATCAAGGATGTCAAGACTTTGGGCTTATGTGATAGGTGGGTGGTTGTATTTGAGAGAGGAAGAAAAGAAAGTTGAGGAGTAGAGTGGAGAGGGAGAAATTAAGTGGTGAAGTACTGAGTTAAAGTTTTTGAAAACCACCTAAATATAAACATGTAGTAGACCAGTAAATACACAGGATTTAAATCCATAAGTAGGTTTGGTGAGAGCTTTAGTATTTGGTAGCTCTCAGCCTTCATTAGGGGATAAAGCCAGTACTTGAGAATTTCAGAAGAGCCTAGGAGTTACAGTGAAAACAGTACAGAAAAAACCCAGGGCAGGTAAACGTTAAAAGAAGGGCAGAGGAAGAGGAATCTGGAGTGAAACTGAAAAAGACTGGATTTTCTTTTCCTTTATCTTTTCCACATTATTAATGCTAGAGGAAAGCATGCCTGCAATTTTGCATGATTTATCTCTAAAATGAATTAGGACTCACGTGGATGGCAGTAATTGTAGAAAAAAAAGGGTAATAATTCAATTCAAAATCTTCCCGATATTTGACTAAAGGTACAGGTACATAGTTTTCTATGAGGATAAAACTGTACAGAACTGTGTCCAACTTATCAATGAGGTTGTAATGTGCATTGCCTTTTTCTTAGATTGAAAATGAGAGGCAAGTGAAAAGAGCTCAGGTTGAGTTGGCTATGCATAAACACTTTTTTTTTTTTTTTGAGATGGAGTTTTACTCTGTCACCCAGGCTGGAGTGCAGTGGCATGATCTTGGCTCACCGCAACCTCCACCTCCCGGGTTCAAGCAATTCTCCTGCCTCAGCCTCCCGAGTAGCTGGGATTAAAGGCATGGACCACCACGCCCAGCTATTTTTTGTATTTTTAGTAGAGATAGTGTTTCTCCATGTTGGCCAGGCTGGTCTGGAACTCCCAACCTCAGGTGATCCACCCACCTCAGCCTCCCAAAGTGCTGAGATTACAGGCGTAAGCCACTGGTGCCTGGCCAAACACTTCTTTTAATTCTCTCCATGTCCACTTAAAATACTCAAATATGAGATCTACAAATTATATCTGATTTACTTCAAAAATGGCATTTTATAATTAGTTATATCTGGGCAAATAATTTAAAGTGGTATACTTGTTTTCACTTTACAGTAAAACAATAGAACTTAATGTGATTGCTATGGTGTTCCCAAGTTAAGCTATATTTATTTCATATATGGATTATATATAAATGACACTTATTTGGTCAGAAAATGGCCCTAAATCCGTGTTTCTTCTGTAGAGGAAAGTCCATTTTGTTTATTATTTCTTTGGATAGTTATTTGTGTTAAAGGAAAGGTACATAAAGTTAAAAAAAAAAAGAAATCAAGGGCATTTCTCATATTACTTTCCCCTGCACTGTTGAAAGCTACAATTTTTAAGTCATAAAATATAAGCCCTTTCAAGGAATTTTATTGGGATAAGTGGAAAAATAGGCATATATTTTAAATGAATTTAAATATATGAATTTGGTAGAGAAAAATGGAAGAAGAGATTCTGTTATTTTATCAGGTTTGAGTTTCAGCCAAATCTGGTTGATGGATCCTTTAGAAATTATCCATTATCATCAAAGTATCCATTTGATAGTTTACCTTTCCAAAAAATCCACTGCTGGTTTCTTCCTTTCAAAGGAACACTAAGCTTTTTGACATGAAACATTCTTTATATAGAAAACATCATTAGTGAATTCCTGGTGAGGAGCCATATGCCCCATATGTGGAATTTTCCATTTTATTCCCCATTTACTGGTAGGAAGTTCAGGTTTAATATTCTGAGGTACAACAATCCCTTTCATTAGAAGAGTAATGGACGAGTAGTTCAGGAGTCTATGGTGGTAATTAACATTGTATTTCTGTTTAGAAACTCATTTATGCCTTGGTTTCCCCATATGAAAAATAGGCAGGTAATGAAGATTAACAAAATAAATAGTTGATCACTAGTATATGGTACTGAGTATATTTTTCTTTTGAAAGTAAATGACACCATCCATCCCAGTTCTCAATACATGGGTAACCATTGCTATCAGTTGTTGTATATACTTCCTGGATTTTTAAATGCATTTATTTATTAATCATTAATAATAAATGTCATTTTCTCAGTTTATTCTTATACATTAATATAGTTCTATAACTTCCTCTTTATATGAACTGTTCATCTCACTCTTTTATACTGGTGCATGGAATTCCACAATATGAGAATAGCTGAATTTATTTAGCAATTCTCCCACTCACAAACATTAAAATTGTTCCCAACATTTTGGTATTAAACAAAATAAATGCTTCAATAAACATCCTGATGCATGCCTCCTTGAGAAGTGTGGCACAGTTTCTGGTAATGATGAAAATAGAATGGTTGCATCATGGGAAATTAACAATTTAAATGTAATAGACACTTTCAATTTGCCTTCTAAGGTGATGATTCCATCTTACTTTCCCTCAAACTGTGTCTAGTTGTACATCTCTGTACATCACTGTTCATTTGTCAAAATCCTTGTTTCTTGTGGTCCATCTCAGAAGTCACCTGCTCCATAAAGCCTTTCTTGATGTCAATAATGGGCTATTATCTCTTCCTCTTCAGGCTAACCTTAGCATTCTATTCATTTGTTCTTTCTTAACATCAACTTTCAGATTTTCTATCTTCATACAGATCTTTCTCCTATCACTTCTACTTGATCGTAAATCTTGAGGGCAGAGAATATTTTAAACCACTTCGGCAGTGAGCATGGTGCTTGTTGTATATTAGATGCTCCCAAAATATTTTTTTAACATCTGAGTTTCTGAAAAATTTCAATAATTCTTTTTTCCACAGAAAAGCAGCTCTAAAAAGGTTAAAGAATTGAAAGCAAACTGACCTTGTGAAGCTACACATATATGAATCAAGCCTGAAGAATGGGAACCTAGAATACTATTTTATTTTGTACCTATCAACTTTATTGCTTCTTCCTTGTTTGTTATGAAGGCGTTTACAGAGTCCACTTTAAAATGCTACGTGAAAATTTCTTTCCTCAAATATGGATATTGTTTCCTTACCTTCAGGAGCTGCCTGCAGCGTCTGACCTAGAAAAGGCTCGCTTGAAGTGCACCCAGCAGATGTACAAGCCGTAAGCGTGAAGCTATAGTTGGTGTATGGCTGGAGACCTAGAAAAAGCAAGCAAGAAATTAAGTGCACCTCAAGAGGATTATTTAATATCAATTAAACACCAGAAGTAACATGCAGAATTGTAGATATGATAGCCAAAACATTTAAGAGTACACTCTAAAACACTCTTTAAAGAAAGTCTGAACTTCATAAGAGGTTAAGTATTGAGCAAAATTTCATTTATCACTGATAAATTAATACATTCTCAGCCATAGAAGAGACCCTGAAATTCACGTGAATCATCCACCCTTCTCTTGATTCCCAATACAAGATGCCATTGAAGAGGCTGTCCCATCTGTACGATCAGAGCACTCCATCTCCCAAGGAGCCCATTTCGTCTTTAGAGAGCCTTAGAGATCTTATTTTGTTTGAAAGTCCTTCCTTATATTGTGATGAAATCTTTCTATCACTTTCACCCCTGGGGACATATAGAACAAATCTAATTTCTTTTCCACATGACAGTTCTTCAAATGTTTGTAGACAGTTATCAAATCCCCCCTCAGTCTTCTCTTCTCCAGGCTAACCATCCCAGTCTCTGCAATGGCTTCTTATATAAATGGGGGTAGGAAAATAAGAAAAAGTTTAGATTCAACATTTTCTAGCCCCAAGCCATATTCAGCTCATATTAATGCCTACCAACACTTTTGTTTGTCAACTTTGCATTCTACCTAACTCGTCGTTTTTTGAGATGTGTTGATTTTGTCTTTACACGTACATTAAGGCTAATTTGGAAAAGGAATGGTGCTTATTCTTTCGTATTCAGAATATGATTCATCATGGTAATTGTTCAGGAAGTTTTCAGAGAGAAAAGAATGACAATCCATCTAAAATAGAAGTTGTATATTGTTAGAGATTTCGCTGTTCTGTGCATGGCTGGTGACCTTGTTAGAGTTACTTAGCTTCTCTCTGCCTTGGTCTACTGATCTGCAAAATGGGGGATCATTATAGGATCTAGCGGACAGGAGAAGATGAAATGGGATACTCAAAGTAGTATTTCATTTTAGCAGAAGCAACTTTAACTCAGCAGCGTTCAACAAGGAGGATACTGAGGCTTACAAGACATCTCTCCTTTGACTCTTGCGAATATTCAAACAATGCCAAAGCTCTCTTTGAGAACGAAAATAGTTTTTTAAAACAACAGGACTTAGCCTATTTGTTAAATAATTGAACTAAGTTATGGTATGAATCCAATGATCGTTATGCTTATTTTTTCATGTATTTTGAGCTACGTTTTCACATATTTTGTTCTTTTGGTGGAATGACTCTTCCCTCAGAGATATTCATGAGTCACTTTTTTTGTTTATGCTGATTTCTCCTCAAATGCTACATTTAAAAAAAAATTGACCACTTTATCTAAACCATCCACCCATCACTTTTTACCCCCACACATAATTTTCTTATTTCATAGCCTGCAACTAAATCTGATGTTTGCTATGTCCCTTGTTTCTTTGTTATTTGTCTCCTACTCTAGATGTACACTCCTAAAGAATAAGAACTTTGTTTTGCCTGTCTATATCCATAGGACTGTGACAGGCACGAAGTGTGTTTACGTTAAATGAATGAAGAAAATTACCGATCTCATTCACTTAGAATGAGAGCAGTAGTCTGGGTTCTCCACTAAGGCAATAATGTTCTGCAGTTGGCGCTGCTCTGAGATTTAGCTTCAGAGCCCTTTGAATTTTCTTATCAATTCAGCGATAAGAAGCAGGTACTTATTTGATTATAATCTTCCATTTGGTTGCTTTGGAGGATTTACATAATTTAGATATTTACCTGATTTACAGATGAAGAATATGACTAAAGATCTAAGCCATACACAAGCCACATATGTTTGATAAAAGCTTATGGGAAAATGTTAAGATTATAAAATGCAGAGCTCAAAATAATGGAAGGGAACATTGAAGAATGAAGCTCAGAGGTTGCAGTGGCAAACTTGTTTAGCTTGAGAAGGCCTCCCCTTTACTCTCACTACTGAAAAAAGAGTCTTGACCAGTGTGACACCGTTTTACCTGAATATCTTATTTTCCCCACTTAGAATATAAGCCCTTTGAGAGTAGAAATGGTATCACTGAGTGAGTCTTTCTGGGAGGTCATTTTCCCCTACAGTGGCCATTTTAAGGCATTCAATGTTGAATAAATATTGCTTGCAGAAGAGCATGCCCACAATAGCTTCCCATAAGGATTGCAGGGATATGAGGCTACAATGTCTGTCACCATGTGACCTGACTTAAAAGGTCCTTGCTCATAATTCCATTGGTATCCTTGCCCACAGCATCGATTTCATTGAGTTGGAGATTTGTTTTTTGTTGTGGAATATTAATAACAGAAATTAATATAATTTGTGAGCAATACATATTTTATAGATTTTTTCCTGAATGCCAGATGTAAGTAGGGTAGCTAAAAGTAAACAGATATTTAAATTTTCTTCTGAAATATTCTGACCAAAACGATGGCCTCAGTTATCTTCCTCGCTGTGTCCCCGGCTTGTCTAATTTCAGACATGCAGTGACTGTTGAAAAAATTGTAGGATAGGCATTAGGGAAAAAAAGGAAAACTCATCATCACAAAGGTTTGCTAAGGTTGATTAGAGGATTGAGGGTATTTGTAATGAGGATTGTAGTTAAGAGGGAAATTAATGTATATAAAAATAGCAATTGTCATTTCTTGGCAAAGCATTTCTGCAGCAAATTGAGTGGTCTCCATTTTACTTAGGGCCTAGACTTCAAGTGTTAAGGGATAGTACAACAGTAGCGCATTCCAGCACCTTAGGAAGTTTTGATAGAGGGAGAAAAGTACACCAAAGGAGTTTGTTACCCGTGTTTACATTAAATGGGGTAGGTTCACCTAGCAGGATATGGGGTAGGGCTGGCGGAAGGAATGCTTCCCTTGAGGCTACTGGGGTATTAAAATCAAGGAGGAATGGCAAACAGCAGTGAGCAGAAGACCTTGGTCGAGAAGTCAGAGGAGTTCAAACATACTGTCAAATCAAGAGGAGTCAACATGCTGCAATGAGGAAAGGAGACAAAGATTGAAAAGCAGAAGGATGAGAGTGGGAGACACGTCTGCAAGTGAATATGGGGAGAGTGGCAGCTTTACTCTAATTCATCGGCACCGTGTCCTCAAGAGCCGTGTCTGTCCCTGAAAGGTAGCCATGCTGGTCAGTTTGAAGGACCATGTGGGCAAAGGGTAGAAATACGCAGGCTCATTTCAAATGATGTTTTCTTATGTGTGTCAGGCAACTTCACAACTGCCATGTTTACCATGCAGGGTCTATTTCTGCTTTTATAACAAAACTCACATTTTCCTTGGGTAAGCCAGTTGTTTGTCCACTATCAAGCTTTGTACTTTATTTAGTGTTGACTCCACCTGGCCTGAAGAGAGTATAGATGACCCAAGCCTGAACACCAAGCTCTATGCTCTCCCATCACATAAGAACCACAGTTAACAGCATTTAAATTACTCAATGGCTGCCTTCCCTCTGAAGATTAAGCAGCATGTAGAAGACATAAATATGGTAGAAACCGTTGCAGCTGCTCTTTATTAAAATTAATATTATTTTTAATTGGCAAGTCATAATTGTTTACATTGTAGCTGTGCAAAGTGAAAAAAATGTTAAAATAATTTAGTTCCAACACCAACGCTCTAAATTAGGGAAAAAACAACAACAAACAAAACTCAGGATGTTTTTGTTTTTGTTGTTCTGTTTTTAATTCTCTTTTCATTGGACTCTATACATTAAATACATTTTATGAGAATTGCAGTTATTTTCAAAAAAGCTATAACATGATGTAAATGATGTACTAGCAAAAGTTTATTGAGCATTTACTACTCCTTGGCCCTCTTCTGTGCACCTCATGCACATTAACACAATCAACGCTCACACCAACTTTCTGCAGCACATGCTATTATTTGTTCATTTTACAGATAAGGAAGCTAAGGCACGGAAAGTTGGAGGAAACTGCCTATGATCACAGAGATAAGAAAGGGTTGGGGCCAGGCATGGTAGCTCATGCCTGCAGTCCCAGCACTTTGGGAAGCTGAGGTGGGTGGATCCCCTGAGGTCAGGAGTTCAAGACCAGCCTGGCCAACATAGTGAAACCTTGTTGTTACTAAAAGAAAAAAAACTACAAAAATTAGCCAGGCATGGTGGCATGTGCCTGTAGTCCTAGCTGCTTGAAAGGCTGAGGCTAGAGAATTGTTTGAACCTGGGAGGCAGAGGTTGCAGTGAGCTGAGATCCTGCCATTGCACTCCAGCCTAGGTGACATAGTAGTGAGACTCCAGCTCAAAAAGAAAAGGGGCGGTGGAAGGTGAGGCCAGGGTTGGAACTTGTGCAATTATACTGAGAAATGTGGCCCAGAACAACTGGGTCAGGCTCTGTAGCCTTATAACAGTGACATAAATACAGCAGCTCAAAGCCCAGTGAAATTTTCAGTAATATAAAAAATCCAAGTGGGAGTATATATTTAAATACTTTCATTTTAAATATTATTATGAGCCATGTGGCAAGGTATGGAATCATGTTCTCTGTTAAGAGCAGTCTGAAATTAAACTACTTGGGTTCTAATACCTACTTACTAAGTACTTGACTACAAGGAAGTTTTCTGGCCTCTAGGTGCCTCAATTTCCATATCTATAAACTGTAGGCATGATAGTATAGACTGATTAATAGGTCTACAGATTAATTTAAGGGAAGGCAATATCTAAATCCATAATTTAGAAAATTTAAATCCATATTCTTTTAGTTTTTATATTTTTCATATTGTTAGAGGATTGGATTACTAATAGGCTTGGTTCAGATAATCTGTAAGAAAACATCAACTACCATCAGGCATAGATGATTTACATGAACCTGATGACCTTTCATATATAGGACTCTGTAAAACTCAATGAAGTGAACACATTTCAACTGGAATTTGCTGTCATTGTAAGTAAGCCTCTATCAGTAGTCCTTAAAACGAGATATATATGGCATATTAGCAACAGGCAATGAAAAGGGCA